TATCGAAGAGGCGAGCAATGTCGCCGTAGGCCTGAATGTCGTGCGCGTACATGGTCAGGGTGCCCGCCAGGGCGTAGAAGGGTTCCGTACCGGAGAGGTGGCGCTTGAGCTTCGGATCGGCGGCGTTGAGGATGTCGGGGATCAGCCTGAGCTGCGCGACGGTCGGCTCGAGGCTGGTGAGCATGAAGTCTCGTATGCGGAGCACCGATAGTCGCGAGACGAGGCGGGCGCGCCATGGTGGTTCGAGGACCAGCATGAAGACTTGGCAGATGTCATGGTAGCCTTGGAAATAGCATAGGTATGGGTATCGACGGAGGACTTCGACGATCAGATCGGAAAGCTCGCTTTTGTTCTTCTCGAGTTCGGTGTCGTTCTGGTCTGTACGTGGAGTTGGTTAGCTTACTTGTCGCGAGTTCGCAACAACTCCCTGTCGGGACACTGCAGAACGGAGTGGTCTCACGATTCGGGTAGTAGATGAAGGCGCGGTTAACGTCGAGCGCAACTTGTTCCTCGTCTCTATGACTTGGAAGGGTCTTCCATGAGACCTTCTCGTCTACACCAGCTGCGATTGTACCCTGGAAATCCTCGCTATCTGGGAGGCCTAGGATTATAGGCCCTGCACAAAATGTTGCGTTAGCCTCAGAGCGTCACAGGACGATGACGCCGTGTTTGGCATGTTTTACTACTGACAAGCTTTCCGGCGTAGGATATCGGTGAGGAATCCGCCTTTGGTACTAGCCAGGCCTTTAAGGGCTTCTATGTTCCGCCATTTGCACGCCTCGAGGATATCGTTCGTCTTGCGCTGTTCCTGATCTACGGGGACCGCAGAGTCAGCGTTGACCGGGGCATTCTTTTCGGCCATCGAGGTTGTTTCCATGACTCCTTTGTGGTTGCGAGCAATGTATCGTCACGAGGCGTCGTTGGCATCGAGGAGTGTGCTCGTCACGGGAGCGTGCGCATCGTGTGGCTGCGAGCTCAGGGGAGATATGCGCGCGTTGCTATTGCCTGGCGTTGCGGACGCTGGTTTGACAGAGAGTCCAGAACGCCCATGAAATCCGCACTGGTGAACCGGCTTTAGGACACAGCTTCAACGGCTTGAAGCTGAGGTTGAAATGGGATGCATTACACGCGCCCACGATCTGCCGGCGGGAGACAGATGGCTGATTGTAGGAACAGGGAAGCTAGAGGTCGGTCCAAGAGCTGCCACAGATGTGACAAGCCAGGTTATAGCGGAGTTTCCTCCACAGCGGATCTATGGATCTGTTTCGAACCATTGAGGCCGAGGCTTAGCGCACGTTTGGAGCAACTTCACCAGGGACGCCCAGCCCCCATGGCCTGGATCGCCGGGACGGGACGCACGGGCCAGATAGGGCGAACCTGACTTGAGCTGTCATTAGACGCCTTTTGACACACCACTTTGATATTACAGTAAGGTACGCTGTCAAGTTGTCTAGCTTTGGGTTATTGCCAAAGACAGGCGAAATTTCGAGGGGGTACATTTTGGGTGTGAACTTCTGTGAAGCTCGGCTCAGAAAACCCTTTCACCTATCCATGCGTGTGCTTACTTTCGATGCTTCACGGCCGGCATCCGCTGCATTGGATTATCCTTGGGTCAGGTACTATGTAGGTCTACCTATGGCGGTTGCACAACTCACCAAACCTACTACGGTACCCTAAGTCGACCCGTGAAAACAAGCTGGTCAACATCCTGCCTAACGTGGAGGTCCCAAGGGGGTTCTATGTGATGTAAATACCGCGTTTCCCAACTTGAGGATTTCAGTTTGATAGGTGCGAGATACCTAGGTTGTTTGTGGTTTATCGCGTGGCAGCTCAGATGGAGGTCCTTTCCGGCTATCAAGCTTCCAGTCACAAATTTCAAGCCACTCCCGCTTCATGCGCCTAAAAAAATGCATTCATCTTCCACGAGGGCCATAACGGTCGTTAGATAGGTCATGGTCTCTGAAGATGCGTTCCTTGCCGACCACCGGACCAGAATTCTCGCCCTGGGCCCTGCAGCTCGATTCAGTCAGCGTCTAGCCGAGACAGCCCAAGCCAGACATGCATCATGGCCTCGGTAAATTAAGTACATATGGGCGGTTCTTTATTGAGTGGCACCGGCGAGTACTATCTTTCAGTTGTCTCATTGGTTATGCTGCGGCCGAAACGGCCACTCCATTGACACTGTTGGGTATAGGATTGGCGTAAAAGAGAGACTCTGGTTTTGTCATGCATGAACATGATTCTTAGCCAGTGAGGGACTCTTCAAGTCAGACAGCTGCACACAGAGCCGGGCAGCTGTAAGGGTCGACAAGTCCGGCTTTGCCCGATTCTGGATCGAGTAGTGCAATGTCTAAGATTCACTCGTAACGGCATCTTCAGATTATGAACCAAACCATGCTTCAAGCTTCCTTTTGGTATTTTGACTGCTTACCTTGTATGATGCGTACACCACGCCCAGAGGATGATTTGGCATTCTGACTTGCATTGTACGTTCTGCCGCAGAGAAATCAGAACAGCCATGGAAATAGAACCCCCTGGCTGGTTGTCCTGCGCCCCCTGCTTTTCTGGAGTATTCCAGACCCGCATACGAGCCCTGGTCCTTGAAGGTGTATTAACCGATCCGCACTGATTTCCCACCAGGTATCCGTCGGGAGTCGGGACTCGTGAAGGGGTCTCTTTGAGACTACCTATCAGCAGAGAGGGACTTCTCGAATTCCTTCTTGATCAAAGGTCCTAGTAAAGACAACAAGACTGATAAGATCCACGGAGAAGAGTCATGATACACATACATAGAAGGGCGGAGGTAGAGAGACTCCAGCATCGCCCTATTTGCGTGAGGAGACGTCAAACAGTGCCTGAGGTAAACGACAGGTGAGACAGTGGAGGCATGGAACCTGCAGCGGAAATGGCCGGCGAGGCATCGTGCAGTCTGGCGATGCAACTGTTCACGCTGTTGTAGTAGGGTATGGAAGTTCTTGGTGGTTGGTGTAGCTATCCGTATGTGGGACTTACACCCACTCCATGAAAAGAAGACATCCAATTGCCTTCCTACCCAAGGGCAAGTAGTGTAATGGTTTCAGCTGGGTAGGGCAGCAAGGTGTTGAGGAAAGACCATTCGTCTGCCCAATCAGCAAGAGCCCGCGGTTCTTTCCAGCTTTCTTCTTTCGCGCCGGAACGTGCCCTCCAACCGTAGGCACGTAGGGTAGGGTACATTGTTGGCTTAACCATGTAGATAGAGGCCTAGACTACCCTTGATTGATTAGTATTAAACCGGCTTGACCTTACTATTGGATATTGGACGTAGGGTTGCAAGATGGGACGACAACAGCGGATGAAGTCGTTTTCTTCAGCATCCCCGTCAGCAGTGTTGTCCGGTCCCTACCTACCTAATTCGCGGCTGAACTATACTGCCTACGCACAATGATCTCACCTAATACTAACAAAGCATTTCATACCGGGCAGTCAACTGTCTTTCGCAGACAACGGGGCTCTCGCGGCAACCTGATTCAAGTCCCCGCTCAGCCAGGGCTGCCTGCCTATGGCTTGACTGCCCGCCTGAGCAAGGAACACGATGGATACCTCCCGTCGCGCATGCACGATGCTTCAGCAAGTCAGCAACAGCCTACAGGGCCAGCTCACCACCGACGTTCCATTACCCTTCTGACCGAAGTCCCGTCACAGTGGAGAGAGTCCGGCTGAGATGCAAATCATACGCAGTAGCTAGTCGAGACAGAACCCAAGACACAGCCCAGCGCACCCAGGTACCTCGGCCGAGAATGGTATTTTCCGCGAATTCAACCAGCTGCATTCTTGGGATGTTCTAGGGCACCCCCACTTGAAATACTGTGAAGGGTTTGAGATGAATCAGGGTCCAGCGCGCCACAACGCCAACAGATCGGGCTCCATTCTCATCGAAGCCTCCTGGAGCCACAAGGAACGGCGGAAAATACCCTATTTATTTGTCCTGACTTCATATGGGCGCAATACACTACACTTTGATTGGCGATGATGGCATAAGGTGACTCGGGCTGCTAGGGTTCTGGGTGCCTCAGACTTGCATTCTTAGTTCTACGCCACCTAGATCGGATTAGGCAGGGGTTGTAAAGTAAAGTGTGTGAGCGTTATCCAAGGTAAGGTAAGCTGGGATGAGGTCTTTTTTCTTTAATCATTGATGCCTTAGTTGGCATGTGTGATGTTTGTTGGTATGGCAGCCAACCACGTCTGTTCCACGGCGTTTTGCTTGCGCCCACGCACACCCAACATGCCTGCCGCCTCACATCACATACCTGCTGCACAACTAGGCATCCTGTACGTGCCGTGCATATCTTACCTACCTTACTTTGCCGAAGCACGATGTACTTCATCTTACCTTACTTGACCACGGTACCTACTTACCTTAAGGCAAGGTAGGTGTTTATGTAGGTAGATACTGACAAAACCGGGAATGCAAGGTGCTTTGCAACTATTGGCTACTCGCATGCTAGGTAGGTACTGCCTTCCATTGAGGTGTGGTGAGGTGGTGCTTTCTCTCAGGTAAGCTCGTGCTCCAATACTCCATGCAACGTGGTGCCCCACCAGCTAGCTAACATGCCCATACCTCTTGCCTTACACCCAGTACGACTGACTCTAAAACCAACCTTTGCTCCGCCCAACCGTCACAACCTGGGGCCATTCATTCCATGGCGCCGTTGCCTACCTGTCTCCTTGCCTCACCTTGTTCCTCAGCAGATAGCCCCGGCCGGCCCAGTCGCATTTGAGTTGTACGGCCGCTGCTTGCCATTCCAGTGGCCCTGAAATCGGAGACAAAATCACAGCTCCGTCATACAGTCTGATCGGTTTGGAATTTCGAATCACGCGACCCGGCAATCTGGTATCCATATCCCCCGCCGCAAATCCGAAATACCTCTGTTCCGATTTCACCTCTCTCGGCCTCTCTTCAACCCGTTGCTGCAGATTTTCACTCCACTGTCAACCATGTTGACATAACAAGACCTTTCGAAATGGCTTTCCAGACAAACGTCTTTAGAAACGGTGCTTGGGTCACGGAGATTATTGACCTACAAACTGTTCTGAGGGGCTCAACCACAAACACCTCCGCTGTCGCTCCTTCACTCCCCGCTCCGCCAAGCTGTGGTATCTTGACGAGAACGGTCATCGATAGCCCCATTGCTCGATGGGTCTTGCCTGCTCGCCTAAGGTCTGCACATCACAATGATGTTGCCTTCGTTGGGGTGAGTTACTCTTTCTCTTTCTCAAGATCATATGGAGGCTTGGATAGTACATTTCTCGAACCCCGCTGCCCTTTTCCTTTTCCTCACACGTTATCTCCAGACTATGTGAAGAAGCTTACAAATATAGGATCGTTACGTGAGCATCAATGAGTTGCGCAAAGATGGGCAGCTTCAGGAGGTGCTGCGGAAGAACGACTTTGGCTGTCGTATTCGAAATGCGCTTGTTATTGGAAACAAGTACGAGCACTTTCGCGTTGTCCCAGACGATCCTGGTCATGACCACATAAAAAGCGAAGACGAAGATGATGACACCCACATGGCCGACATTGGCTCTGGATCTGGCATCAGTAGTTCTCATGGGCAGTTCCCACCGCACTTGTTGCTCCTCATCCTCGAATCAGGTTCCTTTGTCTTCCTCTTCATCAAAAGAGACGATGAGAGAGATGCCCTGGAGTTCGTCGCATCGCCGTTCCACAACCCAGCAAGGAGACTAGGCCACTTGGGATTTCATGTAGCTGTCGACCCCAGGTCTCGCTATTTTGCAGTCGCGGACGCCCAAAACAAATTTGTCGTTTACGAGCTAGAGTCCATTGAGGCAATGGGTGACCAGTTCATACTTGACAAGGCCATCAAACCCATTAGGGCGCATCAGCCAAGAGCAGTCCAAGGTACCATTCTCAAGATGGAGTTTCTCTATCCTCGTCCCGAGGACAAAAACCACGTCATTCTCCTTCTCATAATCGCAAAGGCCGACAGGTCGAAGATGGTCATCTACGAATGGGAGCGCGGAGACGATCTTGGCCAAGTGCTGGCCGAAGAAAAGCGTGGCCATCGCATAGCACCAGAGCATCGGCTCCCTCTTCTCATCATTCCTCTGACAGTGAGAAGTTCCTTTTTCGCAGTTTCCGAACACGCTCTTGGCATATGCAAGGACCCCCTCCAAGGGCCTCCTGACATTGAAACAATTAATCCGGTCAGCCATCCCGCGAGCCCTTTTCATCACGGTACTAGTGTACCCCTTTGGACAGCTTGGGACAGACCGGTACGGAGGCGGCGCTACTACGACACCAAGGATCTTATTTATTTGGCTCGAGAAGATGGTGTAATTGTCTTCTTTGAGTTTAATACGACGGATATCTTGGGCGCTGCCATGAATGTTGGCAGCTGCAACTGCAACATTTCGACCGCCTTCACCACAATGTATGACGCCTACTCTGACGTGGCCATTGTCGCCGGCGACTCTGGCCCCGGGATGGTATTTCAGGTAAGTTGTGATGCCAGTGCTTTTTACCAGACAGCTACTAAAATACTTCTCCAGCTCAAACCTCGGGAGCCTCTCGTCGAGCTTGGGAGTATCCCTAACTGGTCCTGCTCGGTTGATTTCGTCACCACAGATGCTTTGACGTCGTGGGATCCTGAGACTGGTCCAAAAGGAAAGCCCATAATACCATGGCGAGACAGAACGTTGGACCATTTGACAGCTCCAGACAAAGTTCTTTGCGCCTCTGGGAATGGACCGCAGGGCAGCATCACAGAGCTTCGCTATGGACTGCCCGCTAATATTATATCTTATTTTGAGCCGCTGCCAACGAGGAAAGCCTGGGTTTTCAGAACCGCAGACGGAACTTGGCCTTATCAAATGCTGATGGCAAGCCCCGGGACTTCCGACGTGTTACTAGTATCATTTGATCTATCAAACGCGGAGATGGCTGACCCAATGGCAACCCAATTTGACACAGAGTCTCGAACTCTGGCAGCGGAGCAAAGCCGAGACAATACCATTGTTCAGGTGTCTGAGAAGCGTATCATTACCATCGACCAGCAACACAGGTTTGTGTTCTAGAATTCAACCTCCACGTCCCACTTCGACTTTGCTAACGTTCTGATAGTTCAAGATATGAACTAGGTGACTTTGAGGGCGTGGGTAGGATAGCTGAGCATGCAGCCGTCAGGGGTAATTGCATCTGCGTCTCAACCTTTGAAGAATCTCGCTTCCGAATTCACACTTTCCGCACAAACGGGACTGAAACATCCCTTACACAGACTTACCCTGTCGATGGCGAAGTTACATGCCTGGCTCTCTGTTCTCTCGATGGACGGGAATGCATACTAGCTGGACTTTGGCGACAAAACAGCCCCTACTTGGCCGTATTTCCGACGGATATAACGGAAGAAAAGCCAGAGTTGATACGGCTTGCCACCAGTACGTCCTATCCTGCAAGGCTTTAAGACGGTTAATCTAACAACCTGCAATAGACCAAGCAGCCCATGATGCGGGAGACATTGATGCAATGGATATTGCCTCAACAATCGAGTTGGTGACCACTATCGTGCCAATAGCGGAATCAGCGGAGCAAACAAGTGTAGTGATGGGTACCCGAAGCGGACATCTCATCACAGTCCAATTTACCGCGAATCCCTTCCAACATCAGATTTTCACGGAGAGATTGGGGACAGTCGCACTCGAAGCTATGCCTCTAGAAACGCCATTGCTTCCCGGCTCGGTACTGGTTTGTTGCAACGACAGCCTCTTGCTTCTGAGGGACTTTGAGGCCAGACGGCCAGGTCATTTTGCTACAAAACATCGGGTGTGGGCAACTGATCTGAAGCACCCAGCGACTGCATCGATGCCTATCATCTCTGCGGCGTGCATTCCCGCCGATTTGGGCGGTAACAACCGCGCGCCACTTGTACTTTTGTCAGGAGAGCGCATGTCGTTCGTAGAGCTGTATTTGCAACCTGGGCCGGTTCCCAAGACACTGCCACTGCCCGGGACACCTGCCAAGGTGCTATACTCTCAAACTCTACAATGTTTAGTTGTTGCAGTGCAGATTGGCAAGAAGCCGACTGTTCTTTTCTTGGACCCCGAGACCGGAGAAGACCTCTCTCTTCCGCAAGACAAGCATGGAAATGCGACGACATTCATCAGCGGCTTGGGAAGCCAAGAGGACAAGATTCATGCAGTTTACGACTGGCTTTTCATCAAAGACGGCATGACCTTTCATTACCTCATCGTCACAACGGCAGGCGGACGCCTGTTGCTTGTGTCGCCTAAGAAGGAAGAGAGTCACGACCTTGAAGGCAATAGGAGAACGAGGATACGGTTCTCCACGAAATATAGGATAAAGGAAAAAGCGCCCATATATTCTATTGTTGGGGATGGCGACAGCATTATTTACTGTGCTGGAAAAATCCTTCACTGGGATGTCCTGGACTCCGTCGAAAAGAGATTGGTCCGCAAAAAGACGTATGAGCTGAACTCTCCCGCCATCTCACTACGGATGGTGAACGGAAAGATCTCGGCGCTCACCCTCAGCGACTCCTTGGTGATTATTGATCACAAGGCAGAAAACACACACGGAGAAATGACACAGATCCATGCGGATCAGGTGACGCGGAAGTCGAATCACTTCTTCGATGTCGGAGATGATGCAGACCCGGAGCTGACTTGGCCAGTGACTCTCCTGACGGGCATGGATCGGTCCTTCACGGCAGTCTGGACTCCTTGGAAACAGCCCAAGAGAGAGCTGGAACTCGTTGCAGAAGGACCACTGCCCGCCAGCATCAGGAAACTTCAGCGAGGCCGTGTGCGGCCGGAATGGGTGGCGACAGAACATGTGCCACGGTACGGTAGTATACCGAGCACAGTAGACGGTGCTGAGGTGTTGGGCATCTGTCTTGACGGATCATTGATGCACTTCAGCCTACTCAACCTTCAAGCATGGCGGTTTTTACGTCTTGTTGAGAACCTAGCGCTGAGAAGTCCACTGCTGTTTCCCTACAGCTACGAAGTGTCCGTCTTGGACAACGAGGAATACGACGCGGAAGCGAAAGACACGCCAAAGTCGATGAAGCACATCAACGGGAATTTACTGCAGCAGTGTATCGACAAGCGGGTCCTTCAGGAGATAATGAAGGGAGACAGCAACCATGACCTTTTGCGAGAGTATCTGGACGGCTTGGATGATGGAAAGTGGACAGCATCTTTTCAAGAAGACAACGACCCTGACCTCACGAGGTATTTCGATCTCGCTTACGACATTTTGGATTACTTCCTTGCGCCTGTTCTCTGAGGGAGTTGATGGGCAGAGTTCTTCTTTACCGAGGAGACAATGTTTCCAATGGACAGCCGAGGAAAAAAGAAAAAAGTCGTGAGAGGAGTGGTCAGTACTTAGACTAGGTAGAAGCAAAGTCGCCCTGGGCTGTAGGAAAGAATCCAAGTCCACTTTACAAAACTTCCTTGGTCCGAGATTTAAATCTACATCTGTGACTCAAAAGCAAATACCATACTACATTATCTTGGACGACTGGTGAGTCCAAATTTAGCTTCGTCTACAAAAACCTGGATCCTATCAACGACTGTCTATACCTATATTATGCGAAGCTCCCAGACACTTTGAATCGTATGGGTGGCACGGTGGCCATCCACTCATGCCACTTTTTCCCACGACCTGACTTAGAAACATAATTATGGAGAAGGAGGGGTTAACATGGGTAGCTTTGGTGCGTTTAGCGCATGCACAACGGCGTAATGTGAGTGGACGACACCTTGATGAATTTTGTTCGCACAGTGACCAAATATTGTCGGATGCCCTACATTTTTTTTTCTTTCGCTGTGAGTTGGCCTCACTTGGCCTGGAGTTAAGACGAGATATCACCATGCTATGTCCATCCAACGGTAGCATCCTGCTAAGAGCTCACACTCAAAAAGAGTTATATCTACACCGAGATAGACTATCTAGGCAGGCTCGGAATTAGTCATAGTCTGCCTAAAAAGAAAGCAGTCATCAAATAGTGAGGTAATCGCGGGTTAAGCAAGCGAAGGCCCAGCTAGCTACCTTACCTCAGTTAAGCCACGGTAAGTACGAAATAGGTGCCTTGGGCACTAGAAACGCACCTGCGCAATCTGAGGCGCCGCAAAGACGACCGTCACGTTCCCCTGGTACAAATGACATTCATGGCTTTTGCGGCTTTGCCCACCCACCACCAAACTTCCCAGTGCACCGTACGACCAAGACGTTGCCCCAAAACCCGAACTTTGCCCCGCAGTGAATTGCCCTCCAGTTTTCCCGCTCGAGATTTTGGCCAGTTCTCTCAACGACCTTCGCTCTTTCCCCCGGTTGAAGCCAGACAAGACGCAACGCATCGTCCGTATTATGTCGTGTCGGCCCCGACAAAATCGCATTCAGGTCTCGGTTTCGCCACCTCATCTCTTGCATCGCTGAAAGAGCCCTTTCTTTCGTGTGCCACCACCAATCATCGAAACCCCACCCCCATCCTTGGGAATTTCCGTCTGTCCCTCTAGCCGTCATTCACTGGCTGGATCGCCCACAATCGGCAACTATTGAGGGTCTTTCCTGATTTAATTCTACAAGTTGGACACGGTCCTTACATTGAGACACTTCCCCAAGTCCTATTTACGACTATCGACGTCGAATACCGTCAAGATGCCTCCCAAGAAGAAGGGCAACAAGGCTCGCGCCAACGACGACTGGGAGAATGAGCTCGGCGAGACCATTGCTCCTGCCGCCGCTGCACCCGAAGCTGATGCCGAAAAGCCAGCCGAGGGTGAGCCGGAGGAGGAGGTCAGTGGTCTCATGGCCACTCTGCGCAAGAACAGAGAGAAGAGAAAGAAGAAGGGTATCGAGGAGCCCGTAGCCGAACCCGAACAGGAGGATGCTCCTTCACCCAGTCTTGCCGAGAAGGCCCCTCAAGAGGCGACCATGGACGATGAGTTCGCCCTGCCGGAGAAGAAGGGTAAGGGTGGCAAGGGAAAGCAGGCCCAGGCCGCTGCCCCAGCTGGCGATGACGAGAACTCCGGCCGTGTCCTCACCAAGGCCGAGAAGGAGAAGCTGAAGAAGGAGAGAGAGAAGCAGCGCAAGAAGGAGAACGTAAGTTCGGAATAGCTCTTTTTTCACCGTATGACCAATCTAACCACGCCCGAAATGCATAGGCCGCCAAGAAGAAGCCTGCTACTACCAAGGCAGAGCCCGCCAAGGCAGCAGCTCCCGAGAAGAAGGACTCTCCGACGCCCGCTGCCGCTGCCGTCGCACCCCCTCCGGCCGAAGAGAAGGGTGGCAAGAAGAAGAAGATCCCCGCCGCCCTGGCCGCTCTCCAGAAGCAGCAAGAGGAGCTCCGTCGCAGACAGCAGGAGGACGCTGAATTTGCCGAGCAGGAGAAGAAGAGACTTGAGGAGGAGGAGCGAGCCGCCGAGGAAGAGAACAAGCGCAAAGAGGAGGCCAAGGCCCTCAAGAAGCAAAAGGAGAAGGAGAAGATTGAACAGCTCAAGAAGGAGGGCAAGTTCATGACCAAGGCGCAGAAGGAGGAGAAGGCCCGCAACGAGCGGAAGCTCCAGCAGATGCTTGCCGCCGGCATCAAGGTTGGCCCGAGCGAAGAGGGCGAGAAGAAGAAGGCCGTTTACGACAATAAGAAGAAGGGAGGCCGTAAGGCGCAAGACAAGGTAAATTTCAAGGACGGTATGAGATTTCAGAAGGCACTGTCACTAACCTACTGCTCCGCAGGTTGACGAAGAGAAGGCCCTTGCCGAGGCTGCAGAGCGCGCTAAGAAGGAAGCCGAACGACTCATCAAGGAGGCCGAGGAGAAGGCCGCCAAGGAGAAGGCCGATGCAGAGGCTGCCGCTGCTGCCAAGAAGAAGGCGGCAGAAAGTGACCTGGAGGACGACTGGGAAGCAGCTGCTGCCTCTGACGAAGATGACGTCAAGGACAGCTGGGATGCTGACAGCGACGAAGAGGCAGAGAAGAAGGCCGCCAATGGCAAGGCCGACAAGAAGGATGAGGAGGCTGACGAGGAGGACGACGATGAGGATGATGACTCTGACTCTGAATCTGAATCCGACTCCGAGGACGAGAAGGAGACGGCGGCCCGTCAAGCCGAACTTCAACGCAAGAAGGAGGCCGCGGAGCGCCGTGAGAAGGCTCACCAGGCCGCGTTGGCTGCCAGATCCAAGGACAACCTCCGCTCTCCCATTTGCTGTATTCTGGGTCACGTCGATACCGGAAAGACGAAGCTTCTCGACAAGATTCGTCAAACCAACGTGCAGGAGGGCGAAGCCGGTGGTATCACTCAGCAGATTGGTGCCACTTACTTCCCTGTCGAAGCCATCAAGGCCAAGACCGCCGTCGTCAACCCTGACGGCGCCTTCGACTTCAAGGTCCCCGGTCTGTTGGTCATCGACACCCCTGGTCACGAGTCCTTCTCCAACCTGCGATCTCGTGGTTCGTCTCTCTGCAACATTGCCATTCTCGTCGTCGATATCATGCACGGTCTCGAGCCCCAGACTTTGGAGTCCATGAGGATGCTCCGTGACAGGAAGACTCCTTTCGTTGTTGCCCTGAACAAGATTGATCGTTTGTACGGCTGGAAGAAGGTCGATAACAACGGCTTCCAGGAGTCTTTGGCGTTGCAGCCCAAGGGTGTCCAGAACGAGTTCAAGAACCGCCTGGAGCAGACCAAGGTCGCCTTCGCCGAGCAGGGTTTCAACGCGGAGCTCTTCTACGAGAACAAGTCCATGGCCAGGAACGTGTCGCTCATCCCCACTTCGGCCCACACCGGAGAGGGTATTCCCGATATGCTTAAGCTCATCGTTCAGCTCACCCAGGAGCGCATGGTCGGAGCCCTGATGTACCTTTCCGAGGTTCAGGCCACTGTCCTTGAGGTGAAGGCCATTGAAGGATTCGGTATGACTGTTGACGTTGTCCTTTCTAACGGTATCCTGCGCGAGGGTGACAGGATAGTGTTGTGTGGTGTGGAAGGTGCCATCACCACAAACATTCGTGCGTTGTTGACGCCCGCACCGATGCGTGAGCTGCGTCTCAAGTCCGCCTACGTGCACAACAAGGAGGTCAAGGCCGCTCTCGGTGTGAAGATCAGTGCCCCTGGTCTCGAGGGTGCCATTGCCGGTTCTCGCATGATGGTTGTCGGCCCCGACGACGACGAGGACGACATCATCGACGAGGTCGAGTCAGATCTGGCGACTCTCTTCAGCCGTGTCGAGAAGACCGGTCGTGGTGTCAGTGTCCAGGCGTCCACCCTCGGTTCCCTCGAGGCCCTGCTTGATTTCCTCAAGGACTGCAAGATTCCCGTCGCCAACGTCGGTATCGGCCCGGTGTACAAGCGTGATGTCATGCAGGCCGGTATCATGCTGGAGAAGGCGGCCGACTACGCCGTCATGCTCTGCTTCGATGTCAAGGTCGACAAGGAGGCGCAACAGTACGCCGACGACGTCGGCGTCAAGATCTTCACCGCAGACATTATTTACCACTTGTTTGATGCCTTCACCAAGCACATGGCGGAGCTCCTGGAGAAGAAGAAGGAAGAGTCCAAGATGTTGGCCGTGTTCCCCTGCGTGCTCAACACGGTTGCCGTCTTCAACAAGACCGGCCCCATCGTCGTCGGTGTTGACGTCGTTGACGGTCAGCTGAAGATCAACACGCCCATTGCAGCTGTCAAGACCAACGCCGTCACTGGCGTCAAGGAAATCGTCAACTTGGGTAGAGTGTAAGTCCATGATCCATCCATTTCATCGACCCGTCGAAGAAGAGGACAAGAACAATTTCGAAAGCTAACATACCTTAGTACCTCTATCGAGCGTGACCACAAGCAGATTCCCGTCTGCAAAAAGGGACAGCCCTCCGTCGCCGTCAAGATCGAAATGGGCGGCCACCAGCCGACTTACGGTCGCCACCTCGAGGAGTCCGACGTGCTATACAGTCTCATCTCGCGCGCCAGCATCAACACCCTCAAGGAGTTCTACCGCAAGGACGTCTCCAACGACGAGTGGCAGCTCATCATCAAGCTCAAGCCCCTCTTCGACATTCACTGATTGCGCAGTATTTACTACTTCCTCATGTCTGTCTGTTTTGTCTTGTTTAGCTATATGACGAGAGGTACAGAGAGAGAGAGGAGGGGGGGGGGGGGAAGTTTCGAGGTGAAGAAGTACGGAAAAGATGAATAGTTTAGGAAGTGGGTTATCTGGGTTGCATGAAGGGACGGAAATGACGGAAGGTTTTTTTTCTTTTTTTCGAAGAAGAAGTTGATGTATGTGGATTTCTG